CAGCTCCTCACCCAGCAGCAGCAGCAACAACCAGCTCAGCACCGGCACTGGTGCCCAGTACGTGGCCGACTTCAGTGTCCGGGCCCTCAGCGACCTCCAGTTCGTCAAGGTGAGGCCTCAAGTGGAGAATTCCCTCCTCATCTCCAACCTCCATCTCCCTCTCCCAGTTTGCATCCATCCCCCCCATCCCATCCCTCCCTGCCCTTGTCCCAAGTCCCTCCCCAGCTTTCCTGGAGCCCCTTCAGGTGCTCTAAGGTGTCCCCAGAGGGAGGAGGAGGATGGGGATGTTGTTGGCACATGGTGGGAGGGGGTTGTCACCACTCCTCGTTATTGTGGGCTTGTGGTGAGAGGACTTTGTGCCAGGGACTCTTGTGATAGGACAGGCTGGGAGAGTTGGGGTGTTGAGCCTGGAGAAGAGAAGGCTCCAGGGAGACCTTAGAGCAGCTTCCAGTGCCTGAAGGGAGAGGGAGCTGGAGGTTGGAGATGAGGAGGGAATTCTTTGTTGTGAGGGTGGTGAGAGCCTGGCCCAGGTTGGGCAGGGAAGCTGTGGCTGCCCCATCCCTGGGGGTGTTGAAGGGCAGGTTGGATGGGGCTTGGAGCAGCCTGGGCTGGTGGGAGGTGTCCCTGCCCACGGCAGGGGGGTGGGTCTGGATGAGCTTTCAGGTTCCTTCCCATCCCATGACTCCTAAGCTCACCCCCCTTTTCCCGGCGCAGATCCCCCGGCACGAATACCAGAAGGGACTCGCCGCCTCCCGCGTGGAGAGGTGTCCCCAGTCCCCAGACAGCAACTCCCCAAAACCAGACACCCTTTTACCGGACAAACCGGACCCTTTGGCTCCCGCTGACGAAACCACCAGTCTCCTGAGCGAGAGGAACTGCCTGAGCCGCCGGAGCAACCACAGCTCCCTGGAAAACTCCATCTGACCCCGGCCCCGCCGGCGCGCGCCGGGAAGGGACCTCACCTGCCCGTTTTAAGGGACCTTTTTTTCACCCCCTCCCCACTTTTTCCAGCTCCCCCTCCCCCCGTAAGGAAACGCTCGGCGTGAAGCCCGTGGGGTGGGCTCTGGAGGAACCACAACTTGGGCGCTGGAAACTCCACCAGGTGGGCTCTGGAAAAGCCTCCAGGTGGGCTCTGGAGAATCCACCAGGTGGGCTTTGGAGAAGCCAGGTGTGCCCTTGAGAATCCACAACTTGGGCCCTGGAAGAGCCACCAGGTGGGCCCTGGAGAAGCCCTCA